TCCTGCTAGGTGATTATGGCACCTGGAGCAGGACGCAGCACCCTGCATGAGGCCAGCAGGAAGCCTACACAGCACTTGGGTCCCACTCAGTATTGTGGGAGTTCAGTGACGCATCGGCCTTGTGCTGACCCTTAATGCAGAGGTACGCTTCAGGCTTGGCTTACATACTTGGAGCAGAAACATTTGAAGAATCAGAAAAGCACATGAGCACAAAGTGATGCCAGGCACATAATGGGCTATAAGGTTGCAGCTGTTGGGCTCCCATTTCTTTTCTGTGTCCAAATAGCAAAAGAGAACTGGCCTGAGATGCTGTAAGGATTAGGCTTAAGCATTAGGATTACATGAAACCCAGTGGTTGAAAGGGTTATGATGCTGCACGAGCACCGATATGAAAACCATGAAGGATGAAGTGGGCACAAAGGAAATAATGCACGTACCATGTTGACAAAGGCAGACAGAAAAACCAGGATAATAGCAAAGACTCCAACTAAGGTACTATTGGTCCTGGACCGTACAATCTTCCTAGAAAGAGTCTGGAGTGGATCTGGAAAAAGCTGCACATGGGAGAAAACAAAAAAAAATGAAAAGATTAAATGAATTATAAAATAATTGCTTGTTTTACAGATTACACCCTGCATTTGAGCTGCCCACATCCTTCAGCATGGATGCTGCAGTGGGGTTAGAGAACAGTGATGGGGGATGGCAGCCCTGGGACACGAGCGAGCAGGAACGTGACTGCCTTGTGGCAGCAGGCCCAGCTGGCTCACCAAATCTGCTTAGTCCTTCCTAATGGGAATAATGGCTTCTGAGCTGAGATGGCATGGCTTGCAGGGCTCTGCTCATCCTGCCGTCAGAAGCAAACTACAAGCCATCTGTAACTGAAATAGCCAGGAGCTCGAGCCTGTAAATTACTTGATCAAAAATTAAAAAAAGCAGAGATGAAAAAAGACATGTCACAACCCTTTGATCACAAAGGCATATCACAGGACTTTCTGGTGCCATTTCAGAAATGGATGGATAGAAAGCCCAGGGTAGTTGTGGGATCTGTCAGACCATCAGTGAAAGGCACTGGAGAAATCAGCTGGCCTTGTTTGGTCTATGACACCCAGCACCACAGACACACAGGGCTAAAAATAACCACTGGTGAGGGTGATCACAGAGCTCCCTTAGACAGACTGTCCCTGTGATTCACTGCCATCAGAAGCTGTCTTCTAATTGCTTTCTGACTGCAGGCTGCCGGCATGCTTTGCTTTAGGTGATGCACAGTACTCGGGGTAGAAACAGTCTCTGTGCTAAAGCGGGGACTAAGCAGGTGCCCTCTGCAGCAAGAGTCACCCCTCAGCATCGCATGAGGCCTCCTCGCAGCATTAGCTATGAGAGAAGTCCAGAAGACAATGAAACCAACCCTTTCTCCTCATGCTCCACCATGGTCCCAGCGCAAGCTCAGGGCTGGAGCAATGAGAGATGTCCACCAGGAAACCCTTGTGCACGGACACCCGCCCACTGCAGAGCACTGGCACTTGCCTGCCACACCAGCACCCTGGGGCAGAGGGGCTCTGTTGAAGCTGTCCAAATTATTTGTAGAACCCAAGTCTCCTTTC